AGTCACCCACGACGTTTGAAGAACTAAATCATTTAAAATATCCTCATAACTTATAGCAGGAGGCTCAAAACCATCAACTGAGATCCTGGGGTCCTCCAGAACCCCCTGTCAGACCCCTTTCCTTCTCCTGCCAAATTGTTTGCCCTCCTGCCCTGTCATGTCATGGCTTCCCCCTGGTCTGTACCCTGTCGTCCCACATGTCTCTGGTCCTGTCCTTATTCTCCTTTCACTTGTGTGCCATATTAAATAGTGTCTACTGTCTCCTATCCCTCTGGTCTTAGTCATGGCCCCTTCTGTGTCTTGGTCCCCACTAGGTTTCTGTATCCTGTCCTGTCCTGTTGTGTGTCCCCCGTGAGGTCTGCCGTCATCCCTTTGGTGTAATGTATAATTTTTCAGTTTGCCTGATCCTGTTTCCAGTTCTGTTTTGTTTACCCAAGTCTTTGGTTCCAATTGTCTGCCTGTCTAATGTCTGACCCTGTGTTATTCACCTGATCCTGCCCCGCATCTTGTCCCCATGTGTATCTCCTCTCGTCTGGTCCCCTGGATCCCCTCCCCAGCCTGTCCTGCACACCTGAATGGCACTCCTTTGTGGGGGGTGGGGGGGGGGGCTGTCACATATAGGTTGCTCTGCCTGTCTGATCATCCTCTCGCAGCTGCCTTGTGTTTGCTCCTTTGTTAGTCAGGTGTATTCACGTCTCCCAGTCCTGTCCTCCTGGTTTGGCCATTGTAATCTGTCTGCATTTGTGAACCCATCCTATGCTCCTAAATAAACCCCTACATAGGATTTTTTGAGAACAGCCTGCATTTGAATCAACCCTTACCTGCTAATATGACACTGGGAACCATAAAACTAGGGAAAGGGTGAAATACAGGAGGACTACAATTAACTAAAAGGGAATAATCATTAAGAATAGTGATGGGACATATAATACTGACACTTCAGAGCTTGTCTTGTCAAAGTGAAGCCTAGCAACTAGAATCTGGGAGTTTGCTTTGTTTATGCAACATCACATGACCAATGACGTTCGAT